CACGCACGCACGCACGCACGCACGCACGCACGCACGCACGCACGCACGCACGCACGCACGCACGCACGCACGCACGCACGCACGCACGCACGCACGCACGCACGCACGCACGCAACCACACACGCACGCCCACACGCCCACACGCCCATACGCACATACGCACATACGCACATACGCACACGCGCACGCGCACGTGCACGCGCACGCGCACGCGCACGCACACGCACACGCACACGCACACGCGCACGCGCACACACACACACGCACACACACACACACACACGCACACACACACACAGACAAACACAGACAAACACAGACAAACACAGACAAACACAGACAAACACAGACAAACACAGAAACACAGACACACAGACACACAGACACACAGACACACAGCACACACACACACACACACGCACACACACACACAGACAAACACAGACAAACACAGACAAACACAGACAAACACAGACAAACACAGACAAACACAGAAACACAGACACACAGACACACAGACACACAGACACACAGACACACAAACACGCAGACACACAGACACACAGACACACAGACACACAGACACACAGACACACAGATACGCAGACACGCAGACACGCAGACACGCAGACACGCAGACACGCAGACACGCAGACACACAGACACACAGACACACAGACACACAGACACACAGACACACAGACACACAGACACACAGACACACAGACGCACAGACGACGCACAGACGCACAGACGCACAGACGCACAGACGCACAGACGCACAGACGCACAGACGCACAGACGCACAGACGCACAGACACACAGACACACACACACACAAACAAATACAATCGCGCACGAGCACACACGCGCATGCGCTAGCGCACACGCTCGCGCACACGCACATGCGCGCACACACACGCACTTGCACACGCACTTGAGCACGCACACGCACACGCACACGCAGACACATCCGCACCCGCACACGCACATGCGCACGCACACGTCCACACCGACACGCAAACACACAGAGAGGCAGAATCGGCCCATATCGGCCCCCTACCCGAAAAAGCCCTCCCATCAATATAGGGCTTTAAGCCAGCGATTTGCATGCCAGCTTTCCCACAGCCTTTGGGCCCAGGCGAGTCAGTAACGCAGCCTTTCAGCTGCAAGCCTTTAATACCCAGCCGCTCGTGGGAGCAGTACGAGTGCGAAAAGCTGCTCGGCACTGGATCCTACGGAGAGGCGGGGTGGGTGCGGGGGGGAGGGGCGGGATTTTTCGTCCCAACCAGGGATGGGAATGAGGGGTAGGAGGCATGGGCGAGTTTTCAACCAACCGACAAGGGCATTTACTTGCCAAGGGGAGCCAATAATTGAGATTCTTGGACTTGAGTGACTTGAGTTACTACTTGTTTAGAAGGTATATTTAGTGGCAACCAAGAAGTCCAAGAACTTTCTTTGATCACTCCACTAGGAAGTGAGTCAACCAGGGACTGATTATGAGGGGGTAAAACAGTTCCGGTTGAAAAGTTGGAATGGTTTGACACAGCCAAAATGGTGTCCCCAGTGGTTCTACGCGGAGGCTCCACCCGATGCAACTTGCATAATTTGATTCATCCCGGGACAGCGGCGACCTTTGTCATAGAATCCAGCAGGATTTTTTCCAAATCGGACCCAAACGAATATCCTTTTCTAATTTGTTCTCCAATCCCACTGAACATATGCCCACCCCTTGATTCCTGGGATAGCAACATTCCAGAGAGAGATGCCAGAGTCAGTGGGCACGAGAGTTTTACCGCGAAAACACAGGAGCCATCCAAGGGTAGCCAATGTCCGCGAGACCAAACGGTTTCTACTCCATACGGGTGCTGCAACCTATAAGGCTTGTTATGTCCCAAACAGAAGCCCCGTCCTTTTTGGCATTATGCTTTTTGTTGGGACCGTGAGCTGTGACACCAGGCCCGGTGGAGCAATTAGATTTGCGCAGCTGAGCGGTGTGTCATGTTCACTATACCTGCGAAATGGCGAGGGTTCCGTAGTGATTCGGTCCCTTGTCACTAAAACCAATGTCAACGCATCACTTCCACGTTTTTGCTGCAGGTTCCCCTTTTTTCCAACAAAGTTTCTCCTCAACAATGAAACAGGTTGACAGTTGCTTCTGTGGTTCTCGGAGTTGTATAACACGTTCTTTCATGGACCCGTAAGGGGGGGCTATCCCTTATTCACCTCGTAATATGGCCTTATTAAGGGCTTACCCTTGGCTTATCATGGGCGTATCCAGGGATAGCCGTGCCCCCGCCCGCCCCCACCCCCCCCGGGTCCTGCCCCCTTTGAGGGTCCATGATTCTTTCTGGGCCTGTTCACTTCTTCGCATTTGACACCATGCCAGGTGCACGTCGCACGTGAGGGCTTCAGTGGGCGAAAGGTGGCACGGCGGCAGCGGTTAGTGCTGACAGCGCCCCAAAGAGATTCTGTTTTCATCCGTGGGATTAATATGCACAATCTTGCCCATCAGGAAATCAAAGGGGATGGGCACATTGCCAGACTTGACTTTTTGTTTTGAGCTTTTGCCGTGCTGGTTTGCCATACTTCCTTTCTCAACTTTTCAACCAGTAAACAAGGTTAACTTTTGGGGGATGCGCGGCGAAGTTTCGCACGGGAGGTCCCACGGAGAGCCAACGTGACAGCCAAGGCAAGCTGCTTTGACAGGAAACAAGGGTAGAGTTGGATCGCTTGAGTGGATCCTCCCAAAATGAGACAACCTTGATCTTGCCCACAGCAAAAAAACAAAAGAAGCCGCTCCCTGGAAAAGTTCGCAATTTGAGACCATGGCGCGATGGGGGCCGCGCTGAGGATATGTTATATAATGTCCACCCTGAAGAAAGAAAACACGGGGTCCAATTTAGGGGGATTTGAATCACTTTTGGGAAACACTCCCCGTGACAATCGGCCATGTTCTATTCAATTCAAGGTCGACTTTACAAAAAGCACACCCTGCTTCCGGGTGTGACTCCGCTTATCGAAAAGGACCACTGAAAATGACCGCAGTCGCCTTTTCTTGCAGGTCAAAATTCCGAGATCGTTTCCGTTTGTGTGGTCCTGGAGCCAGTTTGATGGCTTGGACCCTTGACCTCTCGAACAGTTTCCGAGTTTCAGGTTGCGTTGAAGCAGATCAACTTCATGGGCTCTGCGCACCGTGTGGATATCGAGCGGGAGATCTCGGCGATGAAGGACGCACCATCCCACCGCAATTGCGGGGGAATATGCTTTGTTTTGTCAAAGGAAAACAACCCTAAACCCTAAAATCCCGAACCCTAAACCCTAAAACTCCCAGAACCCTTGGGAACCTGGTTGATGAATCTCACGCTCTATTTTGGGGCACCCGGGACCCCAGACACCCCACCCCACCTGTCCCCAACCACCCGCACCCCACCCCCACCCCACCTGGAAAAAAAAAAAAAAAACGTTGAAAAAGGCGATAGACCAACCCTTGCGGGGCGAAGTGACTCAAGTTCACCTTTTACTTTGAGGTCCTTTGCGCAGAGCTTCACCTAGAGGCCTTCAAGTTGGGTCACACCTCCAGCCGAAGAGGGGAGAGAGATATATAAATAAATATATATATATATATGTGTCTAGACCACCTTTGGCTGCAAGCCCTGTGGATTTTGCTTCAATTAAGACCTCCCCGCCTCTGCCAATGGCCCTAATCCCAATGGAGCAAAGGGGGTTTGAGGCTCACACCTCCCAGGTTACCTTCCCAGGCTTGAAGTTAGCTGCTCGTTGCTTGGCACATCCCCACCCCCTGGAAAATGGAATTGGGGAAGGGGGGTGACCCCTGGAAATCCATTTCTGGTTCCATTTTTCTTTTATTGGGAAGACTAGATAAATGGAATTGGGGGCCACCCACCCCCCTCCCCCCTGCAGCAGGGGGGATCTTGGCACTGGGCCTCCCAAAACAAAGTGTGTGGCTTCATGTTGCTTCGTTGATACGTGCGCCCAAATCCAAGCAACTGCCCAGTAGCACACCTTGTCTTTGGTTTGCTTCACGGACTGGATAGAATTCGGGCAGGAGCTGGACCATCCCAACATCTGCAAGATTTTTGGAACGATCCAAACGGAGAGGTGCCGCGTGGGATCCGCGGTCCGCATGGCTTGCCCCCAATGTGTTTTTTGGGCGCTTGATTTCACGAAGGTATTCTCACTCCCTGAGTTTGTGGACCTTGCACCTTTTGGGAAGACCACTTGAGTGGCACAACAAATGGGATTTGTTTTGGCCAGTCCACTCAGGGAGTGAGTAAACGAACATGGGCAGGATATTTGGTGATTTTGAACAGACCCCAGTTAGAACCCCCGTGTGATGGTTGTATTCCTGCGTTTGCCTTGCGCAAAGGTCACAACGGGCATGGCATCCCGCCCTGTAACCCAAATAAAAAGCCCTTTTTGGAGAGACAACCCAATCCCGAAAATCCGCCCTACCCACCAGAAATGTTCAACCCAAACCCTTCGGTGAGAACCCTTTCAATCAGAAGTTTCCTTCCGAACCTATACCGGAAAGAACACCCGCGAGCGCTTCTCTTAGCGCTGCGCTCGTTTGATGCGGTCATCCAAATTATCCTGCCACCTTTTTGGCAGGGAACCTGACGTTCGGGGGTTCCCTTGAAAGGAAAAGGGTGTTCCAGGAACCCCCCCCAATCAGGTTCCATGCAAACTGGTGGGAGGGCAGTGCAAAGTTGACTTTGCCTTGAATGTTCGCAACAATGCTGCATGATGCAGAGATTGCCTTTTTGCATGGTATGCCACTTTGAGAGGGAATAAAGGGTCCACTTTAAAGAGGCTTTGTCCCTTTAATTATTTTCTTTTGGCGGGCCAGACGGCAGGTTCTGGCACGATGTGTTTGCGTGCATCACGTGGGCGGCAGAAGAGGCACACAACAAATGCATCGGCAGGTCAACCACTCTCATCATGGAGCTGTGCGAGGGGGAGGACGTGTTTGAAAGGATTCGGATCCTTGGCAAAAAATAGTCGATGATGAGTCAATGCCTGCAGCCTTTAAATCCATCCTAAAATTGGGTGAACACTCTGCTTAGAGGCTGTGCCCTTTCCAACAAGAAGCCTCCCGTTTCTGTGACTTCAAATCCTAGGAAGCCGTGAAGCCGTTTGTGCTTTTTTTTGTTTCTCTTTTGTCTTCGGTCTTTTCGAGGAGAACACCTACTTCGGAGTTTCGTGGGTAGAGTGCATCTTGGAGAGCCAAACAAGGGCGAAAAAAAACCGGAACAAAGGCGGAAACAAGCGAACAAGGGCAGAAAACATCCGGAAATCTTAGCCAGGCTACCTTTCCACAAACCTAACCTTCTTTCCAAACAACGGTTTTTTTCCCCCGAACAAAGACCAACATTTTGTGTGTTTTGCCCGAAGGCGTTTTTTTTTCCGCACACATGGGCTTCGCAGGAATTTATCAATGGGAGGCCAAAGGAGGATCTTTTTCTCCAGGTCTCTTCTCTACTGCTGTTGGGTTGGATCTTTAGACATCTTTTTTTTTGGATAGCCCTCACATTTCCTTGTAACCTGCAGCCGCCTGCAGCAAGTTGAACTTTTTGCTGGGGGATCGACAGCCCCCAAGTTTTGATCTCACCCCCCCGATGTTTTGCAATCACGCGAGGAAACATGGGCCCTTCAATGAGCGGGTTGCTGCAGATGTGGCGTACCAGGCAGCGCGGCAAAACTCGTGGAACGCTTGGGCTCACGACGTCTGGGGTTGGGGAGAGGGGGCTCTGCCTATTCTATGACGGTCACTTGGGGGTAAAACCAGCTCACTAGGTCAGAAGCTTGGGGATCGCTTCTTTCGGGTGCTCAAATGATTGCAACATTGTAACATTTGCATATGACTGGAATGCATTTTTGCAGTTCCATATCCCCATCTGTAGGGAAGATGAATAGATAATTGGAAGTTTGTGCACCGACGACGGCCCGATTCGTTATCCCACAGACCGGGAGGTTCAGGGAATCCACGCGGTTCCAGGGGACCTTCACTGTTGAGAGCAGGGGATCTCTAGACTCTATTCGCTCGCATGCAAAGGACTCGAGGCAGGCCGATAGGATATGGAGGCCCACTCCTTGGCTCCTTTCAATCAAGTTCCTGAACATCGTTGCTTCAGACCTCTCAGGTCTTAAACTTGCCGGTGCTCAGTAAAAAAGGAACCAAGTCGGCGTGTTGGGAATGAACTGGAAGGGGATTCCCTGAAAGGAATCCATAGAAGATGGTTGATTTGTGTCATTCCAGTTCTCATTCCCTGCCTATCAAACCAGCAAGTAACCCAATTGGGTTGACAATTGGTTGTGTTGCCTTGAGCTGTGCTTTCCGAGAAAACACATTCCTGTTGGCGCCTAAGCTGGCTGTAGGGGTAGAGAATTCGAATTCTCGAGAGGTCACTGGCAATGCCAGCATGTTCAATTTGATTAATTAATTACTCAGTTGCCCCCAAGTGAATCGACCTTTTCAACTTGTTTAACATGCTTGCTTCATTTTTCGCCCGAAAGGTTAACCTTTGTTTCTGGGACTTTTGGGCAAATGAGATTAGGGAAGCTGTCACAAGGATTTTAGAAGATGAGTTGTTCTCTTGAACAGGTGGTCCGCTGTTTGCTATTAGTGTTGCAATGGCAGTGGACAGGCATCCCCAAACAAAAAGCACAAGCTTGCCTTTGTGCCCATTTGAGTGTTCAGGTGGTCACTGTTCGGTTTGCTTTTGTTATTTGTTTGATATTATTTGATTTTTGGGGGCAGCAGCTAGCGTGGCACGTTTAAGAGCCCCCCCTGCTTTTTTAGATTGGGGGGGCGGGCTTGTGTTTGTGTTTTTTTTGAGGGGGAGGGGGGAATTTTTCGGGCAACGTTTTTTTTTTGTGGCAGGGGGAAACATTGCCACTAGGGGAAGCCAACTCGGAAGACCTATCAAATATGCAAGAAGGGCTTCGGGTTCCCACGGGGTGCAGCATTTTGGGTGAAGCAGTACTTTCATGAAGGGCTTGTTCCAGTTTGGGGGGGGGGCTGCATGGCCGCATGGCTGGCTTCGGCGACCTCGTCGTCGGCTCCAGGCCGCCTCCGCTCTGCACTACGCCCATCGTTGCGGCATCGTGCACCGAGACATCAAGCCCGAGAACGTGGTCTTTGTGTCCTTCGCCTCTACACGCATCAAGGCGAGCTGGGGGTTCGAGTTTGGGACCGGTGACCGGTGCGAAATGGATGGGGTTCGGAGGAATAGACGGGTTCCACTGGGATAGGTTGGGTTTACTTTATGGCTATTGGGGAACGGATCTTTGGACTGAAGGGGTGTTTTTGAACAGCTCGCGGCCGCCAAACTGTTTGGACCCCCAAACACTGACATTTTTTGCAGAGAGGGTCAACAGCAACCATATCTAATCATTTGCTTGACGTGCGAGAAGAGAGATCAGCCGCTGCTGGACTTTTCTCAGACAACGTACGATGTTTCTTGCAAACAACGATTCATTTAACCCAGGATCGGACCAGGACCAACTGTTTAGGCGTCTGCTGGACCAATCTTTCATGTCTTTTGGCCTCCGCTCAATCCCTGATTTCCTGGGTTTCCTTGGACTAGGCTATTCCTGAATTCACGGCTGGTGAAGTTGGCACCTCAGTTCCCGGACGTGGGCTTGCAACATAGGGACGGCTTCTTTGAAGAAGGGTCCAACAAGCTTTTGTTTTTTCCCAACAGCTGGCATCTATGTGGTCTCTGCCCAGATAGGCTCGTTCGTGGGTGGAGGCATTCCCTTTGGGCTGTTGGCGTCCCTCCACCTCGGCGCATGTTTTGCTCCCCAGGAAATTGGGGGAATTTTGTGCTTGTTATTCTCCTGGAAAAGTGGATCCCCCCAAGAAAAAGAACAACTGGGGAGACAGGGGGTAGTGAAAGCCCTCAGGGCCTCCCGCAAAGAAAAACAAACCAACAAACTAAAAGCAAAAACAAACAAACAAACAAACAAACAAACAAAAAAGCAACACATCTCCAGGTGATCGACTGGGGCCTTTGCTGCCCCATGTCCCGCACCCGCGCCATTGCCGGCAGCCTCAGCTATGCGGCGCCTGAGCTGATCCTTGCCAAGGCCGGACCCGCGGTCAACCTTCGGAGCTGTGTTTGGGCGTGGGGTGTGGCCGGTCCACTCGTTCGGAAGTGAGAGGTGCCTTCCCCATTCTTTCCAGGAATCCTTCTTTCTAGAAAAACGCAGGAAACCTAGAAAAAACGCCCGCTTGTTTCACAGAACGATAGAAAAAAGGTGGAAACAGGGTCCATTGTCCAAAAGGATTCTTTTCAGCATGATGGGCTTTTTGGGTTCCACGTTTGTCTGGGGTATGAGGTCAAGGCTTAAAGGATTCTGGCAGGGACCAGTCAAATTCATCCAAATACCAGCTGACTTGCAGGATCCAAGTAAAGCAGCTGGTGTTGGTGCAACAAGTTCCCAAGGAATTGGGCCGGGGTGAACAAATGGTTGATTCACGGATAGAGAGAAAAGACCCTTGGAAATCTCTGTTAGAGGAACCCATTGTCCCTCTTGGGGTTGGAAGACTCCACAAATGAAATTGGGACCTTGACCCTATCTCCGAAAGCGATTTGCCATACGGAGGATGTCGCTTGCATTCTGGTTGTGTATTGCTCTGCTTGTTTGGACGATATTTTTGTTCACCAACCCGCCAAAAGTTGTTGTTTGGCCCGCGTGGGGGGGGGGGGGCCATAGCCAGCCGGATCCAGCCGGGCTTGAGCCCCAGGTCTTTGTAGAGAGTAAGTGGGACACCAAGCGACCGAGGCATATGGCAGTTGCCTCTCACTAGCCCAATCGACAAATTCTTGCCATTGATTCGTTGATCATTTAAACGGGCTGCGAAAACTACACTACAACCACCATGCAGATGTTTGAGCTGCCTGGCCTGTCTTTCTTTTTATGGCAGCCTGCAACGCACCAGCTTTTCGCCGCCTTCAAGCGAAGCAACATGGGAATCCGTGTTGCTGAAACGTGCACCTTGCGGTTGGCCGGTCTCATCTTGTTTCCGAAGACAATAACCCGCTTCCCGCACAGAAACATGAGTCACAGTCTGCGCGACCCGTTTCTGGGGGCATGTCGGTATTCGACCAAATAGCCCTTGCGAGGTCACTGGGGAGAAGGATTGCTGGCAACCCGCTGTATGCGACACGTGACTTGGCTGGCAGTTTTCACCCCGGTCGGGAACCTCAGGTGCGTCCTCCTAGAGGAAGACCTTTCCGGGTTTGAAAGGGGACCAAAAGCCCAAAGAAATTTGTTGCCATCTGGAGGCTCCCCTAATTCGTTTCTGTTTTTGTTTGGTGAGTGTCCACTTGGAGGGTGGGATGTTCGGAAACTTGCGACACCTGCCAGCATGTGACAGTTGCACGCACAAGCTTGCGTTGCGCAGCTTTGGTGTTTTCCAACACTCGCTGAACAATCGTCCTTGCCCCAAAAAAGGGTTCCAATTCTTTTTCTCCATCAACGGACCTCCTGGCACTTTTCAAAAAAGCGGGCCGTTTGAAGGTCGCCCTCCATATGTGTAGGCACGATGGTTAGGTGGAGCCTGGGGGTGGTGATTGTGGTCATGCTCTCGGGCAAGCTTCCGTTCCATGGCACTCCTCAGCAGCAGCTGCGCCTCGGTGCGACCGGCGGAAACGGATGGGCGTCGAGTTGACAATGGCTCGGTGAGAGAAGTAGGGATTGGTTCCACTGGGATAGACGGGTTCCACAGGGATAGAGTGGTTCCACTGGGATAGACGGGTTTCACTCCATATTGACCAGGGCAAAGCCATCCAATTCACCGGAAGGACACCTATGCCAATGTGTGACCCTGGTGGTTCAAGATTTGTTTATGCTAGTTGGTAAAGGGCCTTTAGACTGAAGAACTGTTTGGTTGAAACAGGTCGGGTTTTCCTAACTGAACCCACACACAGTGACAAACTGTTTGCAGAGGGGTCGACAGCAACCAAGATCAACACTTGAATCTGAAGGGCAGGTTCAGGGAGAGTGCCAACCATAAAAGGGTGTGGTCACCTCCGCCGCGTTTGGTTCTTTACACATGGTTCTAAGGGTTGATTCCCCATTCTTTTCAACCATCGTTCTTTTCAAAAACCCGCCGTTTCCCTGCTTCTGGGGGGTTTCCTAGAAAAAACGGATTCCGGGCAAGAATGGGGAAGGTGCTAGAGTGGCCCAGTTCCGTCCGAGCAAATCATTTCGCTTCCGCCCAGGAAGAAGATGAAGTCTTGGGATCAGGGCATCTCGCGGGATCGCCTTTGGCTGGCCATGTCCCCGGAGGTCCGGAACTTGATCACAGGACGCATGAGCCGAGGGCGTGGTCGTTTCGGATGAGAGAACACAAGCGAAGCCCGGGGCTCTCTTCACAGATCCAAGTTGTTGCTTCAGGTTTTGGGAAGGATGTGTAGAATTGTGCAGGGCCTTGTTGGGATCTGAACTCTTGAGCAAGAATCCCCACCAGTGGTTGATTGGTTCCCTCAGGTTGCCGTAAAGGATGCATCCAAAACCCACCACGCGGATTCTTGAAATCAGCTGGCACGGGTGATGTGTTGAGGCCAAAATTAATCCTTCAAACATTGGGTGTAGGTAGGTAGTTTGCTTTAGCAAGTCAAAGCATGTTGTATCATGCAGCAACATTAGCATATAATGGAATGGGATCGCAAGCTGTATCAGCTGTGGGAAACTTTTGGGAGCAGATATAGCCACAATCAACGGAAAAGATCAGGTCCAAAGCGAACCCATGTTTACAAGGTCTTAAGCTTGCTGGGCAAAAAAGCAAGTGGAGGTTAGCCATCCATGCATTGCCCCCGCTGCAACGTGTACTGGCCAGCTATCCGACAGCGCTCAGGGTTCCGTTCCTACACAACCGGAGAAACAACCCCAGTGAACCCTCCCGACATGAATTCCCTTGGCTTCAAGGGGGAAATGTCCATACCTTTCCTCTCAGAGGTGGGGGAGAAATGTCACATGGGCCCTTTTGGAGCCTGAACCCCTCATACAGCCGCCTCAATGGCATGGAATGAAACGGGTAATGTACTGCTTCCTTTAGGGCTGAATGCTAGAAGTACCCCACAAGCCCATTCCAATGATGTCAAAGTGTTTTCTCAGAAGCGGGACCCTGAAAAGAAACACGTCTCATTTGGCGTCCCTTTAAACCAGCCAAAGGGGGGGTTCCCTCTATTTTCTTGGTGGCTCCCAGCCCCCCCCCCAGCTTTTTTAGTGGTGGTTTCCATTTAAGCCACTCAAAGTTTGTCACTTCCAGCGGGGCATCTGAGGCCCAGCTTTGGGAACCCTTCAAAATCCCCCCGCGAGTTTAAAAAAAAGATCCGCACCGCGAGACCTCGGGCACCAAACTCGGTGCCCCAAACCAGTCGACTCCGATCCGACGGCTTTTCCGTCGACTCGATCCGACGGAGTCGACTCCGATCCGACGGAGCCGGCCGATCCGGGGCGAGGAGTGCTGAAGATCAGCCCCACGGAGCGTCCGGCGGTGGGCAGCATCCTGAAGCACCCCTGGTTCCAGTCCAAGGCCTGCAGACCGGAGCCGATCCGGGATCCGCTGGCTGGAAGGATTTTTGTGTTTCTCTTCCACTGCTGAAAGGAAGATGTTTTTTGGTATTTTTCCCCCTTTTGGTTTGAGAGGAAGATGTTGTTGTTTTTTGGTATTTTTCCCCCTTTGGTTTGAAAGGGAATCGATTCCACTACTGGAAGACAGTGGATGGGCTGAAGAGCTTTTTGGTGGAAACAGCTCGGATTTTCCCGATCTGGACCCAAAGTTGAAAACATTTGCGGAGGAGCCAACAGCAACCAAGCAATGAAAGTGTGGTTTGTTTAGACCCAACGTGGTGTGTTTCCTTTTGGTTTCCCTTCGAACCCAAAAGGCACCGTACCAGACAGCTGTTCACCCAGTTTGGGGGTTCAAGAGAGAGGAAGCAGCACCAAGTTTGAGGGTCAAGTTGTGCTCAAAAGTTCAAGAGACGCGGTCAAGCTATTAGGCCCCTCTTGGAAGACTCCCATCCACAAATGCGTGCGTTGTGTGTTTGTTGGAGGCTTGGCAGCCTTTTCAGGTTGCCAGAACGGACCAAAAGCCCAAGCGCTGTTTGGCGTTCCCTTGTCAGTCCACGAGGCATCAGTTGGGAGTTTATCCCAGGGTTTCACCCACCTCAGTTGACTAAAAACAACAACAACAACAACAACAACAACAACAACAACAACAACAACAACAACAACAACAACAACAACAACAACAACAACAACAACAACAACAACAACAACAACAACAACAACAACAACAACAACAACAACAACAACAACAACAACAACAACAACAACAACAACAACAACAACAACAACAACAACAACAACAACAACAACAACAACAACAACAACAACAACAACAACAACAACAACAACAACAACAACAACAACAACAACAACAACAACAACAACAACAACAACAACAACAACAACAACAACAACAACAACAACAACAACAACAACAACAACAACAACAACAACAACAACAACAACAACAACAACAACAACAACAACAACAACAACAACAACAACAACAACAACAACAACAACAACAACAACAACAACAACAACAACAACAACAACAACAACAACAACAACAACAACAACAACAACAACAACAACAACAACAACAACAACAACAACAACAACAACAACAACAACAACAACAACAACAACAACAACAACAACAACAACAACAACAACAACAACAACCACAACCACAACCACAACCACAACCACAACCAACCACAACCACAACCACAACCACAACCACAACCACAACCACAACCACAACCACAACAACAACAACAACAACAGAACAAGAACAAGAACAAGAACAAGAACAAGAACAAGAACAAGAACAAGAACAAGAACAAGAACAAGAACAAGAACAAGAACAAGAACAAGAACAAGAACAAGAACAAGAACAAGAACAAGAACAAGAACAAGAACAAGAACAAGAACAAGAACAAGAACAAGAACAAGAACAAGAACAAGAACAAGAACAAGAACAAGAACAAGAACAAGAACAAGAACAAGAACAAGAACAAGAACAAGAACAAGAACAAGAACAAGAACAAGAACAAGAACAAGAACAAGAACAAGAACAAGAACAAGAACAAGAACAAGAACAAGAACAAGAACAAGAACAAGAACAAGAACAAGAACAAGAACAAGAACAAGAACAAGAACAAGAACAAGAACAAGAACAAGAACAAGAACAAGAACAAGAACAAGAACAAGAACAAGAACAAGAACAAGAACAAGAAGAAGAAGAAGAAGAAGAAGAAGAAGAACAACAACAACAACAACAACAACAACAACACGAAACATGATGGCAATGGATGGCAAACAACATAATATTTCCAATTGTGACCCAAAAGGGTAATGGTCACAAGCCTTGCCAAATTAACGATGGAGACACATCAGAGGGATGCATCTATACATTGGCTTCTAAATATATATTGGTGTGAAACAATTGTCACAACATCCAGCCCCTTGGGTTTTTGAGCAAACACTACTAAGGATGGACAAACCCTGCAGGACCCACCCTCGATTTTGGAACGCGTTGAATACTTCCTCCTGTGTTTGGCTTCCCTTCAAAGTCGCCCTTTCGAGTTTCCCGCGTTGGCTTGCCCTTTCGGGCTTCCCTCTTTGGTTGCCCCTGATATGTCAAGGGCAGCCAAAGGAGTCCGCCGTACAACACCTCTACTTCCGAGATTCTGGGCGTACCTTGGGCTTTGGACCATGGTGGTAAAAATCAGGCTTCTGGTCAAGGTGCCGTTGAACACCTATACCTAGATCCGAAGGTAGAGGGCCTACATCTCGGTGAGCTTGTTTACTCAGTGTGCTTTCTCAAGCGCGGCGTCGGGACCCGGCAGTTTGCTCCAGGCGCCGCCGGTGATGTCGAAAAAGACGGCTGATCAAGTGCTGGCCAACATGCACGAGTTCAGCCGCTCAGCTTGTCATCACTTCCCGGGTTGGCGTTTCTTTCGTGGTTGCTGTTGTTACGCTTTTCGGGCCAGAGCAATCTGATACACTCAAGGGGTTCTGGGCTTTGTACTTTTTGGCATTGCAGCCGGCCTTTTGGCTTCGCTGATTGATACTGACATTTTTACATTTGCAGTCTAGGGGGGGCACTTTTCCCAGTTGTAGCCCTTGAGCCCCTTTCTGGCGCCTTGTGGGGTTCTTTATCGCTACCCTGCCGTTTTTTTGTTTTTTGTTTTACTTCCTTTTGTGTTTCCGGCGCTTCCCTGCTTATTTCAGCTTAGGCAGGCAGCTTACCTGTAGAATCAAGCTGTTGTCTTCCCCAGAATTAGCTCCCCTTTTTGTTTTCTTGTTTGTTTGCTTTTTTTGGGTCCCTTTGTTTTCCACTAACCAGGCAAAAGAGATGATTGTTTGCTGGGGTCCTAGTTCCAGCCTAGTTGTGTATAGTTGGTCATTGTGTGGCACAAGTGCCGCACGACTTGTTTTTCAACTATTCCTTGCACGGCTGCACGTCCTCACTCCCTTTTGCCAGACATGATGCGTAGGAGTTGTCAGAGTTCACTTCCAAAGTTTTTAAGAATTGTAAAGGAGTTGCCCATAGCACCACTCGCCTCGTTCTTGCAAGTTGCGCTATGGGTTCACAAATGCTGCCCCGGAGGTTTAAGGGCGTTTTTCAACCACGATCCCTTCACATGTGCGAGCAAGGCAGTAGCGGCTTGGGGGTTTATGGAGGCTGGGGGGGAGGGAGGGGAGGGGGAGGGAGCCCAAATAAGCGCTGAATAAGGCCTTAATAAGGGTTTTTTTGGGCTCCCTCCCCCTCCCCTGCCCCCCTCCCAGCCCCCGTGAGGGGTTAGTGGACACAATCGTTTCAGTGGCCAGCCACGAAGCTCAGGCCGATTGGGGCATTTCTATGCCGTTTGTCTCACTGCGGCCGCTCGCTTGCTGGACTGCCGCCGCTTGGCGCTTGGCCTTGTTGCGGGACCCTTTGTCCACAGCCGCTGATGGGTCCCCTTTTTACTTGGTGGTTCCCAGCCATCCCCTTGGGTTTTGAGCGCTTTTTGCTGTTTAGTGGGGACTTTCGCATTTGTCCCACTAAAAGTTAGTCACTTTTAGCGGAGGATCCGAAAACGGACAGCGGCAAGTGGAAACTGAAGCGCCGGGAACAGCTGATCTTAAGACCGTCCAAAAGCAACGTCTCGTGCCTTAAGTAAACACCCTGGAACAGCTCGAGTCGTTTGGCCAGGTTGCCACGAATCAGACAAGTTCCCGCACCCCTCACGCTACTGTACTCGTGAATAATTCTACGGCAATCATCCATTTAACAGGGGAAAGCCGACTAGAGACACATGAGCACCTCCTTAGGAAGGTTCACAGACCCGCTGAGCTCCAACGCATTCCGAAGCTTTTAAGCTTTGGGGTGTTTGGTTCTTTGGAGCCGGCCGCATCCGGCCGTATGGGAATCGACGATCCAGTCATTCCGTCACCGCAGGCCAGGAAGACATCCTGCACCTCTTCCGGTCCCTGGACAAACACGGCAACGGGCGCCTCACACTCCAAGAGTTCACTTCCGGCTTCGCCAAGGCGCATGGGACGTGGCCCTGATTCAGAGCAGCCAGAAAAAAGGGAAGTTGATGGACACGGCCCCTAGCCACTAGTCGCAAACAGTCACTCTCCAATTGCCCTTCCTATCAATTTCGGTCAGTAAATTTGACCTTAGGAATGTCCCCCCCCCCGAGATCAGCTTGCTTGTGGCCATTCTCATTTGCGCGAAGCGAGCCAATTACACCTTGTGGTTCTGATTTGGTCCATTCGTTCCAAAAGGGTTCCCTCCAACCTGACGAGAGGTCGGAGGATTTTCTTTGTGGAACCTTGTGGGTCCCATGTTGGGAGTTTCCTGTCCAGGTTTAGGTAATTGAGGAGGGCTTTCTTTCCGCGTGCAGTTCTCCTGGTACAGTTGGTGAAAGTAGATGGCACAGATCAAACCCAGTTTGCTTGGGTGCTTTTTACTTACCCACACAACGGGAATTATGCCATCTACTTTCACCTTGGCATGCTTGGTGGTACTTGTCTCTGTCCACGCATAGGCACAGAGGGAGAGAGAGAGGGACAGAAACTGACAGATTTGCATCAGGAGCCGTGAGAGCTGAACCCCTTTGAATAGCTTGACCCGTTTGCATACTCAAAGATGGCTCTCGGCTCAGAGCCTTGTGTCGTGGTTGTCGTTGGGAAACATTTTACATTTTGCTTATTGTGGCTTAGTGGTTGAAATCCCCACTTAACTGCTAACATTTGAATTGTTGCTCCCCTTCCAACGTCAACCAAGGTGTCCTCTATGCGTTCCGATCGCGCGCGACAGCGGCGACATGTGCAGGCATGTAATGCCGACCGGGCGGAGCTCGAGGATCTCTTTCACGATCTGGACAAAGACGGATCGGGAGCCTTGCCGAGACACGTGAAGATGCCGTGGCTTCCATGTCATGATGTTCATGTAGAAGCGTGTATTTGTTTCCTTGCTTGCCTGACAGCTCGATCCTTTGTCACATGTGCTGTTTGGTTCCTTGGGGTTTTGTTTTGGTGTATGTGTGTGTGTGTGCTTTGTTATTGATTGATCGTTCGTTTATTGTTTTGTTTGTCTGCCTTTCTGCCTGTCTGTCTTTCTGTCTGTCTGTCTGGCTGGCTGTCTGTCTGTTTGTCTGTCTGTGTGTTGTGTCGTGTTGTTTGTTTAGTTGTGTTCTGTTTTGTTTGTTTGCTTGCAAGTTTATGATGTTGGTTGTCTTTGTTTGTTTGTTTGTTTGTTTGTTTGTTTGTTTGATTGATTGATTGTGTGTTTGCTTGTTTGCTTGTTTCTTGTTTGCTTGTTTGTTTGTTTGTTGGTTGGCTTGTCTTTTGTTTGTCTTGCTCGCTCGTTGGTTTGTTTGATTGTTTGTTTGCCTGATTGGCTCGTTGATTGTGTGCTGGTTTGTTTGCCTGATAGGCTCGTTTTTTTTTTGGGGGGGTGTCTCTTTGTTTGATGTTGCTTGTGTGCATGGTGACTCGGTTGCTGGTCTGCCCCTGCCTGCCTGCCTGTTTGCCCGCCTGCCTGCCTGTCTGCCTGCCCGCCTGCCCGTCTGCCCGCAAGCCGGCTTGCTGGCTTGCTTGCTTGCTTGCTTGCTTGCTTGCTTGCTTGCTTGCTTGCTTTCTTTGTGACGTGTGAATGTGTGTTTTGTTGTTTGGTCGGTTGGCTGTTTGCACGGGTGTTTGAATGGTTGGTTGCTTTGCTTTGCTATGCTTCGATTCTCCTTGGCTACTGCTTGCTTGATTGATTGCTTGATTGATTGCTTGATTGTTTCCTGGTTTGCTTGTTTGCCTTTCTTTGAAGCGAAGTTTCCTGTGTGCTGGCTTCGTGGAATTGCTTGTTGTCCGTTGGCGGCCTGTATTTACTTGCAACAAGTGGTTTGTTGTGTTTGTTGCCGAGTTGTGTCCATGGCCCTTTGCGGTTGGGTGGCCAGCTGGCTAGTTGGCTAGTTGGCTGCGTGCTGGCTTTTCTTGTGCTTTATATATGTACTGTATATGCACGATAAACTTATGCATACGTATGACATGTATATACCTAGAACTTCTTGCGGCAGAAATTTCTGCCGCAATGCATTGCGGCAGAAATTCCCGCCGCATTCCAGAAAATCAGCCGCAAACAAAAAAAAACGCCGCAACCAAAACAAAAACGCCGCAACACTGTTTCCAGAAGTTCGGGGTGGGTGAGGGTAATCCCTGGTTTGCACGCTTCCGCAAACAATCAAGATGTTTGCCCAAACAATCGAGCATGTCGGAGAACACGCCGCCTCTTCCTGGCTCTGTTGTCCAAACAATGTGCCAACAAAAGCATGAGAACAGTTTGCTACCCCAGGAAGGGACAAAACAAATGGATTCGAGCATTTTCAGGGTTGCCACTCATGTTCAAAGTAGTCTCTCACAGGGTTTCGCAGCAGTTTTCGAGGAACCTCCGAGAAGCCCTCAAACAACATGTTTTCAGCGATTCTTTCTCCGCAAAAGCAGATGCCGCCTCAAGAGGGCCCGCGTTTTCAAGAAAACTCGTTCCACAACGCGTCGTCCGCGCTCTCGCGCTGCCACTCGGCGGCTTAGCCGCGAAATGCGACCTACTAGATCTTCATTGCCTTCGCAGGCCGTTGCAAGCGGACTGAGGAGTCGGGGAGAGGGTTTCAGCAGGCCCTCTCTCAAGCTGTAGGCCAAGTGGTGTAGGGCATGGAATTTTGGCTTGTATGCAAAAGCTGCGATTTGCATGTCGACTGCTTCATCTGCTAGGGCGGCGTAGCCGCGTAGAAGTACCATGATGTGGATGTACAAGGCTGACGAGCAAACTCGATCCAACCACAATCCGTGACTGTAGACAAGTGTTGTCATCCTCAAGGAACTCTTGATGGTGCTTCTCCCAAGCCGAAGAAACCTGTCATACCTTTGCGCTGTGGGTGAAGATTCGTGGATGAGCACTCCCAGGTAAAAGAACAGCCACTTGAGGACCAGCATTGTGTCTGATCCCTTCGAATTGATCCATGGCATGGAAGCGGCATTCTTGATGGAGAAAAATGCCATTGTAAACGACCTCAACCCTGGACTTTTGTGTTCACAGAGGCACCACAGGCGGAATGCACCATGCGCACGCTGTAAGCGTGCTGGTAGGCCTTTGCTCTCTTCGTCATTGAAATCGAAAAAGCACAGCTTGCACAGAACCACAATCATGCCTCCGGCTAGGTCGCGGCCTAGCCCCACCTTAAACGAATGAAACAAATCCAAGGAGTACAATCGTTCCGGAGCTTGCTGATCGAAGGGTATCGATGATAGAATGGGAACCTCTGTCCATGGTCGAGATTGGAAAATGGTGCTAGACCACGCCGGAGCATCCACTGTCGACTCAAAAGGCAAGTTTCTTTCCCCTGCGTGACACATGGAGCACATGCGTAGGTGATTTGCCCTGCCAAGATGGGCGTATGATCGGGTGAGATTGGCGAAAAATTCTTTCTGTTGTTTGAGATCTCCCTTGCAAGCTATGATTGCCACAAACCAGCGGGTGTTGTTCTGCTCCATGCCCACGTTGAAAAGATTGGTAAGGTCGGCGGCGATTTTTTTCAGCACATCGTCAACGATTTCAGGGTGCCGCTTGTAGATGATGGAGTGAACCCCCAAGAGCAAATGCCGGGTAAGATAACTGTGACCCTTGTAGTTTGAGGCGGCCCTGGATGCTGTCCTAGCCTCATCACTTTCAATGACTTGTTGCTGACAGGCTGGCGCCGTGTTCTGCGGCAGACCGTCGAGGAAGGCTTGGCAATCGCATTCCTCCTGCGGGACCTCTTCAAGTCCAATGGGGCTCTCCCAAGAGAGTACCAGAAAATTAGCCCTTTTGGCCCCCCGACCCTCATCACCAAAGACGCAAACAGGTATTGTTGATTGAAGCTGCTCGTCCGATTTGGCAGAAAAAACGGCGTGGGAACCATGGTGCCACCTGTACATGTGCCAGAAAGCACGTAGCTGGTCTTTGATGTCGCACTGTGCACCAGCCAGCAAGCAGGGGGCTCTCTTCAAAATGTAGCGCAGCCAGTCACTGACCAAAACGTACGGTGTAATGACAGCACCTGTTTCGGGCACTTGAAGAATACTTTCCCTCATAGGAATGGGTAAGGACAAGTCCGCCTTCAAAAACTTGCTTTGCATGTTTCTCTGGGCATTTGTCACTGAGCGTGCCGAGTCAGCAGGCCGGCCCTTGTGGACCTTCAGAGTGCGTTCGGCCTCCACGGCTTGGGCCTCGGCCCAGCAAGAGAATCCATCCGGGGAATTAGGATTCTCAAATCACCTGAATAAGAAATGGGCGCCATCACCCACGCATTCGGCCAAGTGCTTCAAAATCTCGTTGTCGGGGCCTGGCGGAGCAATCAACGATTACTGGAACCGCTGAATTTGTGGCACCACGCAGTCTCAATCATGTTGCGCACTGATTTTCCCTTGCGAAGCAAGGCTCTGGATCCCCAAGAGTGTTGCTACATTTGAGCAAGCGTTAGATCGATTGATTGATGTAATTGCCAGGACAAATGACAGAGCTCGTGATTTGCGTGGTGAGAGCCACACAAATCAACCCCAAAGCTGTTGCGCGACAGGAGCCGCACAAATTGAATTGATGGACCCAAAAAAGGGCGCTGAGAAGACCGCAAAACATTTCTGACTAAAAGGCCTCAAGTTCTTTGATTGTTCTACTTACATCCTGGGATCTAAACAGCTGATGTAACACTTGGTTGGTCTCCTGTGCGCCAAAGTGTGTACTACATCACTTTGCCTTCGCTGCCTTTTTCTTGGCAGCTGGGCTATCCACGCAACGCCTCTTGTTCTGAGGGGTAGAAGCGGGAGTGTTTTGAGCAGACTTTGCAGCCCGCTTGGGAGCAGCCTTTGCTGCCGGCTTCTTGTCACCCTTCTTCTTGTGGTTTGTCACCCCTCCGCCTCCCAGAAGGCTCCTACAGGTCCGATTGGCAACTGTGTAAATCTTGTTGGGTTTCTGGTGCGGTCCTGCACCTCGACTCCAGGCAAATCGCTTCAATAGCCCTGAAGTCGGAAAGGGTCGAGGGTGATTCCAGAAAGCACAGCGCTCGCACCCACCCAGTGGCTGAGGTCAAAGCTTGGCACGGGCACCGTCGAGGTGGGTCTTGATTTCCTTCGACTTCCTGAGCTCGTTTCGTTTCGGTTGTAGGTTGGATTGGGTGCGTCAGGCTAGCTGGGTGGTTGGGTGGTTCTTGGATGTTACTGGTGTCATTGCTTAGTTGCATGATCGCTTCGTTGGTCGGTCGGTCAGCTGGTTGTTGGCTAAGTTTGTTGGTTTGAAAACTGTCATGCGAGCTATTGTTCCCACTTTTTGGAGGGTGTCCTCTTTAATTGCAGCATGTTTTGACGGGTTGCAAAAGTTCCCGAACCAAAGCCTACTTGTAAACAGATCTAAAGCTTTCCCGGCTCTAAAGCTTTCCCGGCTCAGAGGCCTCTTTCATCCCCGAGTTTGACGTGGCACCCAAAACATAGTTTGTCACTCCCTTCAAAAAGGGCCAACGGTCACACAAAAGGGTTTGCCTGCAAAAGCCTTGGTCCAGTTTTGGGGGTTCCCTTGAGTTGCAACCTTTTGTGAGGGTCGCCAACAGTCCCAACTCACAGGCCTCACGCTACAAAACAACTACTGATTCCATGTTTCGGCCGACCAATGATCGGGAAGTGAAACAAAGAATGGTGTCAACAAATCAGAAATGTGTCAACCAACTGGCTGGCCGGTTGCTGGAACAATCGGTCAACCAAGGCACGCTTTACAAAAACCCTCCACCATGGCCTTGCTGTAGGCATCATTGATAGTGGAGTCCATTTCGGAGATCACACTCATCAAATCCGTGCATTTTTGCATCATCCTAGGCGAGAC